GGAGGCGGCGCGCGGGGAGGCGGCGGCCCCGGCCCCTCCGGCCTTGCTGCGCGCAGCCCGGGGCTGGTGTCTCCTCTCCCCCGTTTTCCCTCCGCCGCAGTCGAGTTCCCAGCGGTTCTGCTGAACACGGCGAGCGGAGAGGTCGAGGCCGAGTTCCACAGCTACGTGCAGCCGCAGGAGCACCCGCTGCTCTCCGCCTTCTGCACCGAGCTCACCGGCATCGCGCAGGTAGGGGCGCCCTGCCGCGGCGCTTGGGAGAGGCCCTCGCTTTCACTCAAATTAGCAGAAAAGTTTCCTGGATTACATGCAGGAAAACCATCATCCCAGACTGAGCGGTAGAAGTATCACTTTTTTGAAAGGTAAGCCTTGAGCTAGCTTCGGTGTGTACTAACACCTCTACATCTATTTCTTGCTCTGTTTTATAAAGAACCAAGTTGAAGAAGGAGTCCCTCTCCATATTTGCTTATCACAGTTTTTGAAATGGATTCAAAAGATACAAAAGGAGAAGAAAATTCTGTTCATTTCAGATATTCCAAATCATTCTATGTCGGAAACAAAACTCTGCACCTTTGTAACTTGGACAGGTAAATACAATTTCCTTTCTTTTACGTAGAGTAACCCACACAAAGAGTGAACATTTGGTGGTGCTAGTGAGCTGCTGCCTGGCTTCTGTTATGCATCCAAAATTCTGTATTAGGAACTAAGGATAGATTATGTTGGGATAAAACTAAAAATTTGAAAAATATTAAACTGACATAAGCCATACATCTTTGTCTCTGTTATCTGCAATACTTACCCCATTTTTTGCTTTGTATTTAGTGTGTCAACATGTTTATGGGCTTAGATGATTTAAGGAGGAGACTGTTAAGCTCTTTATTCATCCCAAGTTCATAAGATAAGGTACTTGCTTGTCTTGCTGTTTAATTGAAACAACCCTGGTGCTTTTTTTGTGGGAACAGAGTCCCTATGGATGTGCTACCCTGTAGTTCCTGCTCAGCAGCATGGGGTACTGTTCATATGGTCATACTCTGTCCCTTCATGAAGAGGTTTTATTTTATTTTTTTTTTTTAAGCCAGGCTTAGCTCAGATCTTCAGTGATGCTACTGGTTACCTGCCCAATTAAACAAATATTTTGTATTCTGAATACGCTGTTTTGTAAATGATTGCATTACTTTTCGCTGAAAAGTGTTCTTAGTAATCTCTACCTTCTTCAGATATAATAAATACCTCTTTGGTAATCATCAGACTGGAAATTAAAGGTTTATTTGTATTTGTTCTTTTGTGCAGACTGGGACCTGGGTGTGTGTTTGCACTATGAGTGTAAAAGGAAGCAGCTGCGAAAACCTGACATTTTAAATACCTGGATTGATCTCAAAGCAACATACAGAGTAAGAAAACCAGTACTGTGAAACACTCATACATATTAATGCCCTAAGGCTAACTGTATCTAAAGTTAGGAACCTGCCCTGTATATTTGAATGACCACTTGGCCACTTGTTTTCTTTCCATGCATTTTACTATTCCTCAGTGTCAAAATCCCTGCCCTAGAACTATGTAAATTTTAATACAAAGCTTAATTCTAAGAAAACAAATTTGTAAGTGGTGGTGTTTAATAAATGTCACTGCAGTAAGTGATAATCCTAGCAGGTTTTTCCCCACCTGCTTTTCCTTTTCTGAAACATCTTGCTCTGTTTGCTGCTTTAACTTCCTTGTTTTTCATGTTCTCATTGCCCCATTGCTGATCATTATCGATCAGGTAATCCTGATCTTTTTAGAGAGTATTATGGTTCCAGCATGTGAACTGAGCTTTCACTAGTCAGCATATTCCAAACAGCATGAGTAATACTGAAGAAAATGAATATATATTTTACATGAATGGAAATGTATATTGAAAAAAATGCATATGTATTATGCAGTCCTCAATTAACACTGCAACAAGCAGTTTTGAGAGGTATTTGGATCTTTAGAGTTGTAACACAGGGGCTAACATAGGAGTTCCCATGTGCATTTGGGGGAAATACAGAAGAATCCTGGAGTCTTCCTGTCCACTGCCTCTTGGTGCTCCCACTCCTAACCTGGGCAGCAAAATTAGGACCCTGAAAAGAAACAGTGTAAATACTCCCCTCTCTTGTGGTCCAACAAGATACCTGGTTGGAGTAACTGTTCCTTGTTTAAAAGGCACTTACTCCTGTGCCAAATGTATTGATGCCTTTGCTTTTGCAGTATGCAGCAGTTGCCGTAAGATAGCACAAAATAATATTGCCAAAATATTATTTATAGTTGTATTTTTCAAAGCTATTCAATTCAGTCTTTGATCAGTATAAACCATACATTTCTACTGAACTGTTCTAGAACCGATTAGTTTGAGACAAGCAGTCTTGTAGTTCTTTCCATTCTCATTTCTTACAGGGTAAGAACTTAACTTACCCCAACTGTAAAACAGGGACACTTGCACGCTGATTTTGAGACTTATTTCTGAGATGGTATTTCTGAAATGGCTTTTACCTCACTGTAAAGAAATGTTGTATTAATCACTTGCATTTTTTTTTCTTAGTTGTTCTATAATAGGAAGCCTAACGGGCTAAAAGGAGCTTTGCAGGATTTGGGGATAGCTTTTGTAGGACGGGAGCATTCTGGTAAGCATGATATGATGATGCCTTTTTTTTTGTGTGTGTGTGTGTGTATGTGTGTGTGTGTATATATGTGTGTGTGTATATATATATATATAAGCTAAAAAGCTACTGTAACTTCAAGTTATACAACTTTCTGTTCAATAGCAAACATCTACACATAAAGGCTAGATACTTCAAAGATTAAACATCTCTTAAGTTTAGGTGTGTTTTGGGGGGTTTGTTTTCCTCCTGAAATCTGGCCTTGTACTGGTAAGTGTCTGTTGCACAACACAGCCAAACACTGAATTACTAGGCTGCAGATGGAAAAATATTAAGGAATAATAAGGAAATGGAGGAAGAATCAAGGAAACTTCATCTTACCTGACTGCTTTGGACAGCTTATTAATGTAAGAGAATATTAGCACTATATATGTTTGATTTAAGTGATACAACAGGAATTTTGGTAGTCGTGAACATACGTTAAACGTTGGTTAGGTGATCATTAGATGTTCAGCAAAGGGAATCTTACTTCACTGCCCTTTTTTGAACTGTTCTCTAGAAAACCTTGTGTCAGTTCTGTGAGCCCCTTTCATTTAAAAAGTCTGAGTTGTCTATTTCCACTAATAATAACTATCTCCAGTAGTAGTTTAAAAGGAAGAGTGAAGGTTATTAATATAAGCATTCCTTTCAAGGGCTGGATGATTCCCGGAATACTGCCCGCCTTGCTTGGAGGATGATTTGTGATGGATGTGTGCTGAAAGTTACTAAATCTTTCAATAAGGTTAGTAACTTTTTCGCATCTTCCCTTCTACTTGCTTCAGAGCCTGGCATGCAGTTGAAAGGTGAGCTACTCGGGTAAAGGAGCAAGCATCTTGACTATGAACTGAGCAGAACACCCTTGGGCTAATATGCTTATTAATTTAGTGCATTGTTATCTACTTTTGGGCATTTATTTCCCCAAATCTCCTAGGCACATCCAAAGGAGAACCTGATTTCCAGAGCACCGAGTATCAACTTCACTGACAAGCCTCCGCTGGGAAGTAATAGCAGACCTGGAACAGCCAGAGGTACAACTTGCAACATGAGCTCTCCAGCCGAGGAAAACCACAACAGCTGTACCAGAATTACGATAAATTCCGATGAAAAAACAGAAGAACGAAAGGAGAGAAGTACAATCACATCCTCTGCAGACATCCATGTTGTGCCTGGCACCAGCTCAAGGACTGACTTACGTGACCAAGCCCAAAGCTCTCTAACAGCACCTGCTGACCAGTTTCCCCTCCCTCTTGGAAAGCCGCAGCTCTCTAGCCGGGCGGGCGTTCGGAAAGGGTTCAACAACGGGCACGTGATGAGCGCGGCCCCACAGAGCGTGCCAGGCTGTGGGGCAGGGCTAGTGCTCGTCTCTACCACCATCTCCTCGGTTAATGTCTCTGATGAGGATATTAGTACCAGTTCTGATTGTTTAGCTCTGCTGACTGACTGGGAAGATGTAGCTCTAATACCAGAATCACAGTGTCAGCAAAGTGCAGATTGTCTTCAATTTGAAGATGACTTAAGGACAGATCATTTAACAGCATCTGAAGAAACAACAATTTCTAAAGTGTCAGCTGTGATCAGCTCGGATCTTCAAAGTTTGGAGAAAACAGTGGTGCCTGTGGAACCTCAGAAGTCTATCATTTACAAAAGCCCTGATACTACTATTTATAATGTAGGAAGGGCCCAAAGGCAGCCTTCAAGTTTTTCTGCTTTTAAGTTACCCTCTGCAAAAGTAAATGCTACTTCATTGCAGTCGGCAGTAACTGGAAATGACTCCACTTCTTCAGAGGCTCCTAAAAGAAGGCCAATGAGTCCAAAGATGTTCCCACCAGCAAAAAAGCAGTCCTTTGCTATATATGAAGAGAAAAATGCATGTTTTAATCATTCCTTACCTTTAAGAAGTTCAAACTTGTCCAGAGTGTCTCCTGCCATTCTGAATTCCACAGTCAATTTGAATCAGTCTGTAAGAGCTGCAAAAAATAAAAAACCAACCCCTCCTCTTTGTAATTGTGGTCGAAGAGCTAAAAGACTATATGTGTCAAACAGTGGTCCAAATCATGGCAAAGCATTTTTCTGTTGTCCTGTTGGTAAGCACGAAGGCAAAAAGAAAGGCTGTGGATACTTCAAGTGGGAATATACATTTCTAAAAGAGAAGTCTTCTAATGTGCCTCCTGTGAACACAAATACTTTGACCTCTCTTGGGCTTTCTTCCAGTACTTCAGGAAATTCTTCCAACAAGAAATATTTGCATCTTAGACCCTCTATGAGAACTTAAAGTGTGTGTGTGTATTTGGTAATCTAAATCTAATACGTGTTCTTGCTTAATAAAATCAGGATGGTCAAATGATCTTAGATATGTGTTCTGAGAATGGGACAAAAATGACGTGCTTGGCTCAAGTAAATAAAAGTGGAAATTGCTCAAGCATACAGAGTACACATATGCTATAAACTATCTCATTAATGAAGGGAGAGAATTGATCAAGCTGCAAGTGCTAAAATCAAAGTATGAACATCTGGTCTTAAATCTCTTATGTTTCTGCTTTATCATGTATTTTAAACTCTACTTGTCCAGTCTTTAAACATCACTGTAATGATACCCATTTTATTTATATGTGTTTTTCTAAACGTGTGTTGAGCTGTAACTTTTTAAAAATTTGTTAGTTGCTGTACTTTCAAAGTGATTCTTGAAATAACACTGCTCTCTTAAAATTTCCCTGTTTTATTAAAGTAACAATAAAGAAAAATGCCTAGAAGGGTTTACTAAACTTCTGTAACATTGACTAATTACAGTATTTTTGTCTGGGCTGGTTTCCCAGTTCATTTGTATCAGTCGGCCTGTTTTCTTGCTATGGGCTATTACTATAGGATGGGGGCCAGCCAAAGGCTGGGTCTCAGACAAGAATTTGCTAAACATAAGTGAAGGAGGCCATAATAAAATGTCTTTTTACATTACTGTCTAAATCAGAGGATCTTCTTTTATAAAAGATATTATAAAAAAGCAGCAAGTAATTTTAAGCTTTTTTCCATTCCTTCTGGCGCAGTTCATTTCTTCTGATCTTCCCACTAATAGTTTTTGGCAACTGTTGAACAAATTCCATCTATTGGAAAAGGGAGAAAATCGGAGGAAAAAAAAATACCATTTACTTTGGTTGACTCTTTCTTAACCTCATTAAGAATAGTTAATGCCAGCTCTCTTATGATGATGAATAATTTCTTAAGAGTTCTGTGCTCACCTTCCTAGGATACTTGTATGGAGCAGTAACTTTTCTAACATGGTCCTGTAGCTCATTCATCATTTTTTCTGGATCATGTGAAACATACTCAGGTGTTAAAACAACAAAGGCTTTCACTACCTTTAAAAAAAGGCAAAGGAGCAAGTGTTTAAATGCCAATGAAATAACATAGCACAACAGTAAGATATGAATTTAAATAAAACATTTTCTGACACACTGCAGAGTGTGTCAGACAGATAGTTTTCTTCAAGTACTTGTCTGGACTGTAAATATTTTAGTGACAAGGAAAGCTTCAGGTGGTACTTTTGTCTTAGTGGCTATGGGGCAAGCAGCTTGGATGGTCTGCTGCTCTCGTACTTTTGTCTTAGTGGCTATGGGGCATGGTCTGCTGCTCTGTAAAGTTTCCATGCAGTCTTACAGGGTGCAAATACTGATTTAAATTTAGTTTAAAAATGCAACCAAGGGCTAGACAAATCCCTTGGGAGCTGGGCTTTATTAGCTCAGCTGTGCACAAAGCTATATGTGAGGTGAGAAATGTTTTAACTTGTTTACCTCTCCTCTGATGGGGTCCGGGCTGCTGATGACTGCTGCTTCCACCACTGCAGGATGCTCTACTAGGGCACTTTCTACTTCAAATGGTCCAATGCGATAGCTTTAAAATGGAGAAAAGAGGGTCAATTTTGTCCGAAAACACAATGTCATGATACTGAATCACCAGTATTCTTCAAGTTTAATGAATTCTTGTTTACCAGCATTAAATTACCCAGCAGAATTGATGACATCATCAGCTCTTCCAACAAACCAGAAGTATCCATCTTCATCCATGATCCCCCTGTCACCAGTCACGTAAAAATTTCCACGTATTGTTGCCTCAGTTTTTTCTGGCTCGTCCTAGGAAACATTAAATTGTATTCATGTATGAAACTGCTTAAAAATAAATGACAACTGTATTCTAGCATTTCAGTACTTAGGCCATAATACAATTGAATATTTGAAAATGTCAGCTGCTTAGACTGGCACACATAATCATGTCCATTAAATTCAAGCGAGTTGTAATACCAGATATTAATAATGGGAAATTGATAGTTAAATTTTAGTAAATTTACAAAATTTACTACAAAAATACTAATAAAAATCATTAATTGTGATAATTAAGTTTTACTGGTTGTGGCTTTAAGTTTTAATAAGAATATGTTATGACTTACAGCTTTAGGAACCACTGAAAGCTGCAAGAAATATGCAAGCAAATGACATCCAGAACTTGCTTTTGGGTGATTAGCCCATCTGCTGTGCATGAAATACTTCAGAGGCAAATTCTACCCTAATTCTGGGGAGGGTTTTGAATGGAGGGCTCCTACTTCTCTAGCCCTTAGGCTATGAAGTATCATGGGAGTAAGGGCTTATCATTATCGATCCTGACTTGCAGGGTAGGACAGTCGCTGTGTAAGTCAAATAATATCTGCAGGAATTAATGAAAACCCCTGCCTCCACCCTGCTTTTTTTTTTCCAAGTCAGGAAGCAGAGTGTTTATGAATGACATGAGGTATCAGGTTCCTCATGACAGATACTTAACAGGGCCTATAATTGAACTGCAGGAGTGTTCTTACAGTATAGCATGTGAAAAGACAAAATGGTCTTGTAGGTTTTACTCTGATGGCAATATCCCCTTCTTTCCCAGGAGGCAGAATATTACTGGTTTCATCTATAATCTAAAAACAAACAAAAATACCATTTTATTATTTTTGATCTAAGTGACAAAACATTAAATTAAGGCTATAAAATCTTGCGCTTATTTCAAATATTGAACGGAACTATTTTTCTTCTCTGAAAATCAATTTAGAGAAGCTGGGGAGGGGGACGGGGGGGACTACACTGGCGACTGCTTTATAAGAATACTAATAATCCAATGTACTTTGCATCATGTCTTTTCTCAGAGGAATTCCAAACATTATGCAAACAGGAAATCAAGCATGTAAGATCCCTTCCCCGCTGCTCCCCCAGCCCACCACCCAAGAGGAAGATAAGAAATGCGGTGGGAAAACTTAACAGCAGAAAGACACTAAAATCCTACCAATATTACAACGTTATCTGGTGCCATAATCAGCCTCTGCAGGTCTGTTCTCACCACAAAAAAAAAAAAAAATTAGTCTCGCTCTTCCTGAACTAAGCATTTTATTTGCAGTCATTAGGCAAAGTTCTGACATCTAACTGTCAGTAGTGGTTGGGAGCTCTGTGATGCTGGTGAGGATGGTGTGACAGAGTAACCCAAGTGCTTATTTTGCATACTCAATTCAGGGCAGTAGCATATGTATTTTTTTTTTCCAATCCTTAAAAGATGATACAACTGCATTAGCACTTTCAGCCCTCTTCTAATAGTGAAACTTGTAATAGGCTCTAAAGTGAGTGTGAGAAAGAGAGACAGAGAAAGAGAAAAAGCTGTTTCTTCTCCATCGTTTCACCAGAGTACCATACCTTGACATCATACCCTGGGCATGGCTTTCCCATAGAGCCAGGCTTAATTTTCATTCCCTTAAAGTTTCCGCAGACCAGCACCTATAACAAGTGGTTTTTAAAAAGAATATGCTGTGATTTGTATATTGAGTCTTCAGTTTGTTTAAAATGCTCAACAAATAAATAAAGGTGGAATATGATCTCTATAAGAAATACAAATTAAGTCTTCATTATGATGACATAGCCCATGATTACTTCTAGAAATAAATGATGACTTTTCCAGGACTCCCCCAGTCTAAAACCTGTCTAGAAACCTCCAAACCCTAGAACCTTTTCATGGACTTTTGCCACTGTAGAATCTTTCCAGGACTCATCTAATCCAGAACCTTCCCAGGGAGCCCCCATGATTCTAAGCATGTGGACCTAGAATGGCTCTAGATGAGAGAGCCTAGAGCAGTTCTCGACTACCACCCTGAACCTACCTGGAAAGGGTCTAGGTGCTCTGACCCAAAACATTTCCAGGAATGCCTCAATCCAGAATCTTTCCAGGAATTCTGTCACTATAGAACTTTTAGGAATTCCCCAATCTGGAACTTTCACAGGACTCCCATGACCTAGAACAGTTCTAAACATGACTGAAAACGATTCTAGGTTGACTCTAGAACTGTTTGGGATCGCAGCCAGATCTAGAACTGTTCTAGGCTGAGACTAGAATGACTCTAGGCTTGCTGACAAAGAACAGTTCTTCAAGCACCTACCTAGAACCTTTCCAGGATATAAGAATCATGACCAAAGCTCCAAATAATGCTAACAAGAGCAATAAAGATAGGTCTTTAAAGCAAAATGTGTCATCCAGCAATGAGGAACATGCTTCTTTTGTGTTAGTTCCCAATCCAGAAGCCTGCTGGAATGAAAACCTGTCCTTGGATTTTAGTGTTAAACTGTTATAATTATTATATAACATAAAATCCACAGTTTTACTACTGTTTATTACTATGATTGACTTTTCCCCTATTATGACTGCATATAATCATTTTTAATCACATTTTTTTCTGGCCAACTCTAATGCCATTTATTGTTATATCTATAAAGTGTCTGAACATACAGTTTCTGTCTGTCCATAGCCTTCATAAATATCCAGCCCAGTGTGTTCTTTCCATTCTCCCATCACTTCAGGGTTGATTGGCTCCCCAGCACTCACACAGTGCCGCAGGCTTCTGAATTTATAGCTTGGTGGAAAGAGAAAGCAAACAATCAGCAGAGTTGAATGGAAACAGTGGTCTATCAGCCATCTCCTTCATTATTGTATTCCTTTCTACATGAAAATAAAAATCTTCACTGAGTCCTATACATTCCATTTCAATTGTATGGAGTTAAACATAAACAAATCTGCAGATTTGTTATTTTTAATGACAAATTTTAATGATAAATTACATTTTAAAAATGTAAGAATTGATAACATTTCTAAATGGGATCTCAAACAAAATGATGAAAGTCACAGGAGAGTTGCTAAGCTGCACTGACACAAAGCATAGTCTTGGTGTTGGGGGGATGCAAGGCCAAAACAAAAGGAAGGAGAATCTAACTATAAAGTACTTTAGAAAATATGCTAATCATAGTATTGCATCATTATTATCCTATTATATCATCAGCTAAATCGCTTTTCAAAGTCTCATGCAAGTTTGCTATAATTTCTGAAATCTGTGATGGTGACACTGCTTCGAAATTTTTTCCTCCAGCTTTGTTCCTAATATGGAAGATTCAAGATGTTGAGAAATACCTGACTGGATTTGCCTTTATGCCATTGTAAATTTGAAGTAAAGTAAAGGCGAGAAGATCATTTGGTTGACTGTTTTGACCAAGCACACCAGCAAGGTAATTTTGTTTTGCTTACCTGGACAGTTTATGTTGCACAAACATTCGATAGGCAGTTGGAGCAGAACAGAAGACTGTTATGGGATATCTTGCCAGGCTCTAGAGAATTAGAATAAAAAAGTAGATGTGGTTACTGAAACATCTAAAGTCTCACCTACATCGCAAGAGATAATGTAACACTCTCTATATTCAGCTTATCAATACATGAACAAAATGTTACTGTCCTAAAAGCAGTTAGCTTTGTAGTCACCATCACTAATACACTGCAGTTGCATTTAAATAGGTTCTTCTTCAAAACATAATCTACATCTTTTTGCAGATAGTTCAACACACCAAAGCTTTGTCCTCTGGAAGGCTTTGCATTCTCCCTTGCAGAATTTCTTCATAATTCCAGTTTAAGTAAAAACAAAGGAAATCATAAGGCTACTTTTTAAGATGTTGTATAGGAATCTGAATGATAAAGTTTTTCAGCGTATCCTAATGTTAGCTAACATCTTTCACCAAAAAGTAACATCGGTATGATAACGAAGTGTTTTATGTAAAATGAACTGTGATCTTTTTAACAGAGTTGCATGCAGAGGACATACTAGGGTATAATACTGGTACCATTTGTTAAAGAAATGTAGCCTTGCTGCCTCTTACTCCTTAACATAGAGTTGTACAGTACATGCAAACAAAATTCCCTATTATCTGCAATTGTCACTCATTTTAATAAAGCCAAAGCAGTCCACAAACTCCTGTCCCATTTCTTGCATGCTTCACTTTTAGACCAAGTAATGCTTGCACGTTTGGGTAGAGCACAGAATGAAACCTTCTGGATGTTAAAGAAACTCCTATTTTCAGCTTGTATTTACAGCCTTTGCTGCTGAAATACCAGTCGGCTACTTCCTGGTGAAGGCTACAGCTGTGCAGCGTCCTGCCCCTGCATAGCTCTGGGGGAAGGGAAAATCTAGGGAAAACTGTGCGGGTGCTGGGCTCTCCCTGCTTACCTCCAAGACAAGGCTTGGGCTGAAGCTTGGCATCCTATGGGCAAACACACATGCCCCTTGAATCCATGGGGAAAAAATGCTGCTCCAAGCTGACTTTGCCCAGCCTGTGTCTGATGTATTCCACAGTATATCTGAGGAAGTCAAGTCCAGCCAGTACCTGGATAACACAGTGAGAGCGTCCACAGTCTCTATTCGGCAGGAAGAGGGCAAATATTAAAATATCAACAACAGATATGCCACTGAAGCAAATCCACCACTGTTTTTCTTGGCTATTTACGATAAGCAAATGACTGAATTCCTGAGCAGGAAT